ACTCATGCTGTGATCAGCGGCAGCTGGATGCAATAATCGCATGCCAATGTGCATTGGCTCGTTTAGTTTACACTCAAAGTAGATTGGTCTCTCTAAGCAAGATCCCAATTCGTCGGTCATCCGACGTGACGTCTCCGTTCCCTCCTTCAGGGAACGAGGGTTACAATACGTAAGACGTTACTTTTGATGCCTCAACCCCTACTTTTTTGAAGTCCAACAATTCAGTAATTCCTAAATTTATTTTCATAATTTTCATGACTCATGAACACATGAAGTCACCAGAGCAGCAGGCAAGCTTGAAATATGGAAAAACTTACATTTAATGGATGGAAATATTGTCATTACATTGATTTTGTGAGAAGAAAAGATGACCTGAACACTGATGTGTTCAGTTGTTGTGGCATTTTTATGGCCTTATTTCAGCTACATTTCCCCCCCCAAAACTTACTAACCACACATAATTTTTATTTATTTATTTTTTAAATGCAAACATGTAGATCGATCTTGCTCACATATTATTGTAGCACAGTTTGTGCTGAATACAAAAAAAAAATTAGACGTTGACCAATAGTATGTTATAAGTAGCTGAAATAAGTCAGGGCATGTCAAAACATCTCAAGGGCCCCAAAATCACCTCAGACCCCAGAGGGTTAAACTCATTCTGTTCAGGACGAGCAGATTTCTAGCATCTGATGATTCATTACCCCAAAGTGTTGACTATAATAATTAATATGGGATGATTGTCAACAAAGTCATATGGAAAACACTAGAGCAAACTGATCCACTTCTTTAGTGACAGATATATACTGAACAAATGCCAGATTGGCTTCTCACCAAAATGTCACGCATCATTTCAACCGAAATATAGGCAAACTTTTCCATCATCTTCATCAAAAAAAAACCTTCATAAAGTTTTTGGCATTTATGACAAAAATAATCAAACTGACTGACAGCAGTATTGGAGGAAAACCATCATTAAAATAAAATACTGTTGCAATTGGCAACAAACACACAGATATGCATCAATGGTGAGAACCCAACCAAGTACACACTCAACAAACACAACGTGCCATAAAACGGACAAACAAGGGCCACCAAAAGAAGACAGACTGTAATTTCAAATCACCAATATCACTTTCAAATGAAATCTACATCCCACAACTGCAATGTAAAACTGTAGCGATAAGAAATGTAAATTCTTACTAATAAAAAAAGGATGCAAGTCACCTGTATCTGCATGCATTTACATTTACGTTCAAAAACACACTCATGTACATCACTTGATAGCCACATTTGTTACCTTTCTAATATTGCGTGTGTTTGAATATGTGTGCAATATTTATTCATTCTTTGAAAATTTAACCTTGCCAATAAGGCAAGCATGCTAATAAGGCATTTTTTTGACCTGAAAGGAATTGAAAGAGAAATACAGCAAGACATGGAGGGTGTTTGAGAGAAAAAGATCTGTCTACATCTTCACTGAAGATCAGATTTTCTTGCGGGCCCTGAGGGGTCAACAACTGCAGATGAACCAAATGATATGCAAATTGAAGAAAAGAAAAAAACAGCGCCACAAATTTGCTTGTGTGCACGGTGCGGCCCTTCTCATCTCAGAGAGAGTTTTGTCCAGAATTTCTCATCTACACCAACATCACGGCAGGTCCACTAATGGAGGTGTTGAATAAAAGATTGAGAGAAAAAGTAAAAAACATGTTAAAAGAACAAAGTTGAAAACCATTTGAAATGCGAGGCATTCATAACAGTTTTATCTTGCTCTCTTCATGTCTTTTTGTCTGTTTCTGTGAGGGGGGATCAAACGCAAAGAATCACCTTTCATGTGCTAATGTTATCTGCCTCCTTGAGGAGAATTCAAATTAATGATTGTATCATTATTGGTTTGATAAACTGTGTTTAATGAAAGACTTATATCAAGGATGTGAATCAAGGCTTTGAATTGCAGATATTGCCTGACGCTATGAGATAAGGTCAAATCCATCTCTGAGAGTGCAGGGCTGTCATAAACATTACTAGGGGAAGTAAAAAATTTGGTTCATAGGGCCCTAAAAAGCAGTTTTACACAATAAGGACAATTTCCTTTAAAATACTTTTAAACAAACATTCATTAAATGTTTAGTTAATTTATTCTCTGATTTTCAGCACCATTTCAGTGTTTATGATTTAAAAAAATAATAATATTAACCTTTTTTTAGGTGAATTACCTTCATAACTTTATATAAGAACCTTATTTGAAATCACATTTAAAAATGTCTGAATGTCACGGCAGTAGATATAAAATTTCAAGCAAGTGTCAACAATTGCTCTTCTCTTCACTACCTTCATGTTTCTTCCTAATTTTTGCTCAGTGTCTTTTATTCAGCTGGTGTTTTGGGGATTTTTAGTGGATGTATGAAGTCAGTTCTCCTCAAGTGAAACTAGCAGAGGAGCCACAGGTGTAGACAATCACACTAACTATCAACATGATGCACTACTATGTCACAAAACTCACAACCACAAAGTGTCACATTACTGGTTGATTTAATTTAATCAGTTATATGGAAGCCCCTTTCCACTATGTAATAAAAAAAATGACTTTTTTATTTGCACAATTTGGACTTTTTCTTGCAAATCTGTGGGGAAAAGTGTGAATTATGAGATATTACAAACACAGAATTTCTTTCTTTCACGCAATTCTGAGTCTCCCAATTCCATTTTTTTCCAGCCATAGAATAAAAAATAAGGTATTTGTGACTTTTTATCTCACTTTTCTTACTTTTGTTATCGCAAATTTTGTAAGTTTGGATCTCACATAGTTATCTATTTTATTAGTTCAATTTCTGTCAATGTTTTCCTTTAAAAGTGTGTTTGCTATCTTTAAAATAAATGCCACTTGGTTTGATAATGCAGAGACATTAATGTATTTTTAAGTGTGTCTTAAGTTTCTAAGTATGTTCTGGGGCCGCTGTATATGTGTAGAAAGTCAACAGAAAGTCAGAGTTTCTGCAGAATAACTGCTGTTGTGTCCTGAATGACTATAACGACACCACAGGACGTCAACGTCTCCAAACTCAGTGAGCTCTGTCATTAAATTCTTCATTCATTCATGCCATGTGACATCTGCACTGTCTGTCAGGTGTATTAGAGCGAAACGTGTCTGATCTGACAGTCTGCGACAGCAAACAAGACTACAATCACAGAAAGAGGTGGAAAAAAGAGTGCAAACAAAGCAGCCTATGAGGGATTTGTTCATATTGTTGGGATTGTAATGCTGTACTTGAAGTTACTGATGACTGAAACATGTTTCTCTGAGGAACAGAGAGAGATGCTGCCACTGCCAGTCCTGTGCCGAGGATACATCTTTAAAAAATACAGATGGTTGAGTTTCTAAAATCTGACTGGATGAGCCATGTCTGAAGCCAATTTAATTAAGCAATAATTATTGCTTTATTGTTATTATATATTGAAAATAGCAGAGGACCTAGGACAGATCCGTGTGGCACTCCATACTTTACTGGTGATAATTGAGATGACTCCCTGTTTAAATAAACAAAGTGGTAGCGATCGGACAGGTAGGATCTAAACCATCTTAAAGCCTGCCCTTGAATACCCGTATAGTTTGGTAATCGATCTGTGAGTATGTCATGATCTATGGTGTCGAACGCAGCACTAAGATCAAGTAAAACCAGCAATGAGATGCAGTTTTGGTCAGACGCGCTATATTCATGACTGGAATGCTGGATTGACCAATCAAACATTATGAAAAGTTCATTTAATTACACACAGGTCTACCTGGGACCACATATAAACTTGTGTATTATTCTATAGTTATTAATTCTATTTTAATTCTCTACACTAATTATATTACTTGGTAAAAAAATGCGTTTGCATATTATTAAGAAATGTTACTAATTTTATGAAACACTGGTGGCTGTTATCCTATTGCTTTTGCTCCTTTTATACAAGCAATAAGCTACTTGAGGCAGGGTGTGATTTCACCATACTCCATGCAGATCAACATCCCTTAAACACACTATTAATTGTTTGATACATTTTATTTCCTGTTGGCATATTTTCTATGTAACAGGATGTTGGTGCTGGACAAATCGAAGGTCTTGTCTGTGTTTTCTGTATAAGGTTGTTATAATTAAATAATAAGGCTGCGACATCTGTATGAGTAGCATAACCTTGTGAAAAAGAAGTGTGTTTAAATGTACTGAATGTGCACTTGCAATTCAAATCTTAAGTCAATTTTTAAAAACTAGCAGATAATACTATGAAATAAAAGTTCATTTAAGTGTACATAAAGAAAGCACACTTCCATGACTATCTTTCTTAAATCACTTTGTAATAACATCAAATGAAAAGCATTTAAATTACATAAAAAAATAGTTTTAATAATCTTTTGTCGTGCTTTAAAGAAGTTGATTATAAGGACTTGATTATAATTTAAACTGTAGTGTGTTATTTGATATTACATCTATAGTAAATAATTTTAAATGTTCAAGTGTATTATTCGGTAAGTACTAAAAGCGATGCTTTCATGTCATCTTTAACCATGGTAAAATCACTCTAAGGAACCATCTGTAATGGCTTTATTGTTATTGCTTTTAAAGGATAGTTCACTCAAACAATGAAAATTCTGTCATCATTTACTCACCCTCATGTCATTCCTAACCTGCATGAATATCTATATTTTGGTAATCAAACAGCTTTGCCGATCACTGACCATGGATACAAACAAACAAATTAATAAATTTATTAATCTACATTTATTAAAATATCTTTTATATGTTTCAGAGAACAAAGTAAGTCACACAGGTTTGTAACAAAATTAGGGAGACTAAATGATGACAGTATTTTAATTTTTGGATGAACTGTCCCTTTAAATACTTATAACCATGATGTAATACCAGTATGTATCTAAGTCGATAAGTTGGTCACCCTGTAACGGTGCTGGATGGTAGTGTGTGTTTTACTGTGTACAGTCTCTGATGGTCTCTCACCGATCGTCAAAGTGGTGGGCGGAGCTCAGCTCATCTGGATGAGATAAAGGGCGTGGCAGTCTTCGGGTTTGGGGAGGAGCCAGATAAAACCTCCTCCTCAGGGACGGCCTCTATAGCGGACAGTAACTGATAATATTCATCCTCTCCATCCAGAAGCTTGATTTGCCTGAGAAATGAGAGAGAAATATAAGAGGGTCACTGATACATTAAGGCAAACAGGGCATAAACTGTAAAAATATAGGTTTGGTAACCTAAAAATATGCTTCATGTAATACAGAATCTAAATGAACTGGATCTATCCATCAAAAAAAAAAAAATAATAATAAAAATAATAATAACTAATGTAACTGAATTAACTTGAATATATTAGGGTTTTTTAAGTGTTTTTTCAAGTAGTTCCTTGAAGTAAGCCTAATGTGGACATTTAAAAAAAAAAAATCAATGCCAATATTTTACATTAAAACTTGTTTGACATTACATTAAAACTTGCATCCAATAACATCAGGAAGAGGGCTTATTGTAGGTGCTGTGTCTTATAATTTCTTTCAAGTCTTTCCATTTTTTTAAACACACATCAGAGGTTGTACTTTTATGCAGATTGGTTTTATAGGGTTGATAAGACAATTGTGTAAACAATTGTTTGATCCGGCTGTTTTAGAAAGCATTTTAGTTATGGTATAATATGAAAAATATGTTTTGGAAATATGAAAAAGTGAAAAGTGAAAGTGACGTGACATATGGCCAAGTATGGTTACCCATACTAGGAATTAGTGCTCTGCATTTATCCCATCCTGAGTGAACACACACACACCGTGAACACACACCCGGAGCAGTGGGCAGCCATTTATGCTGCGGCGCCCGGGGAGCAGTTGGGGGTTCGGTGCCTTGCTCAAGGACACCTCAGTCGTGGTATTGAAGGTGGGAGAGAGCGCTGTACATTCACTCCCCCCACCTACAATCCCTGCCGGTACGAGACTCGAACCCGCAACCTTTGGGTTACGAGTCCGACTCTCTAACCATTAGGCCACAAAAGTACTTCAACTTAATTGAATATTTTATTTTCACAAATGTATTATGTTTTTTTTTTCATAAATGAGGCAAACAAAATATACTTTTGAGTTTTGTCTTCAGTAGTCCAATGAAACTGTCCTATGGTGTGGCAAATTAATTCATTAAATGAATTAAATACAAACATTTAAACAATCTCTCAACTAATATGAGCTCATAAAAACTGCATGCATAATAATGATAGAAAAATTTGCAAAATACTGTTAAAAATCTTCTTTAAAGTACTGAATGCAAATTTCCCTAATTATATTCTAAATTTAATTGGCTGCATGTCCCTTCTCGTTTCTATTACAAGATGCTTTAATGACCTTTCCACTATCTCAACTAGTTACTTCAGCCTCACATATTCTCTGAGCTCCTCAGAGTCAAAACATCCAGACTTTCCTCTGTGGGTGGAAGATCATTTAGTATCACTCTGAAATACTGAAACTCACTCCCACTGAGTCCCCACAGCATCACAATATTCACATTCACAATCCCTGCCTCTTAATGTCTGTGTTTCTCTGAGTTTCTCATGTCAGTCAGTTGCATTTGTTTCTGAAACATCTCTGTGGTGAAGCAACCTCAGTGCTGCAAATTACAGGCGCTAAACTAATAAAATAGTGTTTTTCATTTTAACAGTGTTAAAAAAGCAAAACAAATAGCCTAAGAGGTTAAAACGACAAACTAAACAGGCAAGGAAGCTGCCTTACTTTTCACAGGGGTTAAAATAATAAATAAATAAAAGAAAAAGCAAGAAACGGTTAATCCTTTCATAAAGAGCGCTGACATACAGCCTGCTCGAGGTATTAGAGGAACCAGGCTTAACTTCACAGACTGTGAGGTCACATATCTCACAATTAATACATGCATTCTTATATCACGTCATCTCTCCTCCCAAAAATAATAGGGGAAAAAGGGCGCTTCTTAAATAGCTCGTATTTTCAGCTGCGCATTTGCATGAGAAGCAAACAGAGCCGTGGTCTTCTCGGCTCCCCTCCTGAGCTGGTGGGGTGTTTAGATACGAAGAAGGAAAGCTGTTATTTACCCCAGTTTTCTGGGTTTCCTCTTGCTCCCCTGATAATCCAGACTTCTCTGCAGAGAGGACACAGAACCAGTGCACGCAAACACACACACACACACAAGCACAGAGTTAGAAAAGCTTCAGAAAAGACAAGTGCGAAGCAACGAACATGCGCGAGAGAATCATTAATTTTTAATTCAAAGTGATTTTGTGTTGAATGTGTGCAGATGCTGATAATATCAGAAGTCACAGCATAATTTTTCTTGATCAAAGCGCGCGCGACTGAGGCTGATGAGGCAGGCATCTTGCTCGGCTTTGATAAACCACATCAATTATTCACCGTGAAGGGAGACATCCTCACATGAAAGCAACAGATAAAGCGCCAAAGCACATGGTGGAGACAACAGAACGTCGGAGCGGCGTGGGGGCTCGGGGGTCTGGCACAGGTAGCTTTAATTGTATTATCATCTGGAAACAAAGTTAGACAAAGGCTTGCATGAAAGGCTTTGAACTCACGTTGAGATGGTTGTAATAAAGACTGTCTTCCGGGCTGTTCAGGAGCTTGGGCTGCTGTCCTCTTCGCCGAGGGGAACGGTGATGTAGCTTCACC